CCTTTGTATTGACTTTAAGAATTGGGATTAAGTCCTTTGGAAAAAGAAAAAAAATGGTCCCCATAATTATACCTCTATGTTAGATACATATAACATCATATGGTATGTCAAAGGGGTCTTTTGCACATCATGTTGGGTGGTCTAAGTTACCCTTTTTCTCATGTTCTTATCCATTGTGTGTGTGTGTGTGTGCGTGTTTTGTCACGTTCTCTTTATCTTTCGTTGGGTATTTTTGACTGAAAGAGAGGTACCATTGGCCCTTGTATGTTATAAAATTTGAAGAAGCCAATTTGGGCACGGCCATGTCTCTGCTGTGTTAAACTTACTATTCATTCACTGTCTGCACCATAAAAAGCATCCACTTCTGTGTTTTCTTACCCTAATAATGAAATATGACAGCCATCACCCATCTAGTTGGTGCAGGTACACGTGTCACTCAAGGGTTGCATCCCAATTTTATCCCATACAAGTTTTGTTTTTATCCTGATAAAATCATCTATTAGGCAATTGGATAGTCAATTCATGTTATTAATTTGATATACATGTGAATTTTTGTGAAATAGAAATAAATTTTATTAGTATTTGGCCAAAAGAAGGGGAAGAGAAAACAAAAATGAATTAAGGGAGAAAAATATTTTCCCTTTGTCTCCATTATTGTGTAATCCCGGTAAAAAGTGATTGCAAGTTTGAAAGAGTGAAAGAAAATAAAAGAATTAGCAGACAAAGGAAAAAAAATCAGAACTTTTGTCTTTCAAACACTAGTATTATATTCACGTTATTCATAAATCATAAAACAAATACATACTCTTCTTTTCCTTTCCTTTTTGCTTAACCAAAGGTATCACACCCCCTTTTTTATTTTTTATTTTTAGGAGTACATTTTTCATCTCTCATGCCTTTTTCTCTCTCTCAAACTTTCATATCTACCGACTACAAGAGCAACATATTCTAAAAGTTTTTTTTTTTTTGGTCCAACGTGAAAAGCTTGACCAACTAATAAATCAATACAATGAAATTACCGATGGGCATGAAATCATGTAAGCACTCTTATTTGTCAGAGTGTTGCGGTAGTGCGGTACTCGTCTGTCTCAACAATTTTGACCTTCATCTCGCCTGTCTTTTTTTTTCTCTCAAACTTTCATATCTACCGACTAAAATAGCATTATATTCTAAGACTGTATTCGGTTATATGTAATTGGAGTTTTTAAATTAAAATTAGATTGGTAAAATTAGATAAATTCTTGAGTTGCTTTTCTTTAATTCCATACACTCAAACATTGCCTAAGTTATTTTATTTTGTTTTCTAATTTTTTTTTGGGCCTAAAATAAAAAGCGTGGCCAATTAATCAACACAAATGAAATCAAGGCGACCAATGGGCATAAAATCACGCAAGCACTCCTATTTGTTGACTGTTGCGACACTCATCTGTCTCAACTAATATAATTTTTTTTTTTTTTAATTTTCAACCAATAGGCATTGTTTATTCCATGATGAGCAACAAATTACCAACATGCTTGACTTTTTTAATGGTTGTAGAAAGTTATTGTGATAAGAAAACCAAATATTGCATTGGGAAAAGACAGTAATAAAGGGTGGTAAGGTCGGGTGTTGGTAGGACTGAAGCGTCAGTACTCTATCTGTACAGAAACCTGCAGAGAAGAGATAAAACTGCACCGAAAAGATAGGACACACAGCGAACCATAGCTCAACACCTCCATACTCCATTTGTTGAACAGACACAAAGTTATATAAAAATAATAATAATGGAGATTCAGAAACTTTATGTTCCAACCACATTTTGATGTAGTAGTAGAAGTAGTGCTTTCACTTATTATAACACATGACATCTTCAATCCCATTGGCCTTGATCCAGCTCTCTTGTAATGATCATCACTTCCCATCCTGCTATTACCACTCACAACATGCCTCCTATTTTGTGAATTGGTGACATGAAATATCACTACAAATCTTCAAGGGCATGCCTAATTGTTGATTGATTTAGATGTTACAAGGTCATTGTAACATGTTACTTAAATATTAAAGTATTGTGTGCAGTGATAATGTCATTACAGACTGTTCCGATTTGACATCGAACCTTTTCGATTTAGTTCAATACAAGAGACTTTTACCACTCAAAAGTCTGAAAATGATTAAAACTACGGAATATAAATCAGGAGCAGGGAATGCAATTTTGACATTTAGAAATTTACACCTGTATTTGGGGTAAGTAATTGCACCCCATTTACTTTAAAAACAAAAATTACAACCCTTTTGATCAATGTAAACTTTTTTAAAAGCTAATTATTCCATAGTATTAGAAGGTTTGCATGCATGCGAGTTAAGAGTTATGGTAATTAATCAGTGTTGGAACACAAAATCATGTGCCTTAAAACCAAGGTGCTATTACTTAAACACAATGGCATAGTCACACGTGTGAAGAGTATCAAACTTAGGTTAATAATATATATATACACACATCTGACCCTCTAGACCCCACAATAACGGAAGTGTCATGTGCACTAGATTGTGGAGAGGTGGGAGGCAAAGCATCTAGTATTGGCAAGACTAGCAGGGTAGGGCGTTAGGGACAACACGGTTTGGTGATGATGCTTGGGAGAGATGGTTATGGAGAGTAAAAGATGCTGTTCATTTATTTATTTATTTAAAATAAAATTACATATGGTCCTTCTGCATACAAGAATCATAGAATTGTGGAGGCAGCGATTAGGGTACAATAAGACATGTCATGGGAGATGGGACACAATTTCTCCCTCATGTCAAATCCCTTCTTGTGATACTATTACCACCATTACTGCCATCAAGTGTGTGTATATATATATATATATATATATGCATGGACTCAATTCAACTCTTTAATGATTCATGAAAAATGATTACCAAAACGAAACAAACAACACAAACAACAAAATGATATATTTGATCAGAAGCTTTGGCCTCCCCATTCAATTAGTTTTTTCACTTTCACAATCACCACTTATAATTAATAATCTTCATACAATAAATATTGACAGATTGATAAGATTATTAACTACTCTACTCTTCTTCTCTCCCTTTTTTTCCTTTTTTTTTTAATTTATTTTTAATTATAATCAATAATATGATTAGTTAAGAATCAAATAGTTTCATCATATATAAAATAGGACATACACACAATTTCTGAGTATGATATAACTTTTTATCACAAAAACTATATGATGCATCCAATCTAAGTACTAAAAAAGCTCACATTCCCTTCTTTATATATAACAAACAGATTAATTGATGATAGAATCCTAATTAGGTTAATGACAATTCTTGGAATATATATATATTTTTAATTTAAAAAAAGCACTTCTTCACAAAAATGATCCTATCAATAATTTGATTCATCATGTTTGTGATGGTGAAATTTCACCGACGGCCCTTCAGGAATAAGTGGAAATCATGTACCAAAACATATCCCCAAGGACATGCTCTGCTTATTTCAGGATATTAAGCTATCAAAAGCTCTCTTCTCAGTCTCATAATTAAAGGCCAACATTGACATGCAAACCACTCCCATAATCCAATATTTTTCAAAATATCTTTCTTTTACAGATAATTAATTAGTTAATATAAAGTCAGAGAGGTGGTCCAAAATTCTTCCACACATGGATATTAGCAACCTCTTGTTAAAAACAAATTATTTTTTAATTACTTTTTGAGAAACAATACTTAGATAGTCACTAGTGAATATATTTCTCGCACAATGATAAAATGGTATATGCCCATTTTATAAAATAAAAATACATAAGAAAAAAAAATATAATTAAGTTTTAATTTTTCTCTCTTATATTTTAAATTCAAAATGAACATTTGTTCACATCAAGCACGAATGTATTGTGGGTTCAGTGGGGGCATTTTCTGTTGAAAATTTTTGTGCTTGTGAACTTAAAAGTGCTGATCTTTTTCACACACACCCATGTCTCTATTGAAATTCGAACTCCTAGTTTTTTTTTAGGCTATGTTTGGTGTGAGTGAATGGAATCAAATGAAGGTAGAATGGAATACATTTGTTTCCATTCTCTTATTTGGTGTGTCACATTAAAAGTGGAATGGCCATTACTAGGGAATGCCCATTCCATAAAAAAGGTGGAATGCCAATTCCACTTCTTGAGAGGTGGAATGACCATTCCATTCCCACTAAAAATTAATAAAGTAATAAAATAATTTAAAGAAATAATTCACACATACACACACTATATAAAATTATATATATATATATATATATAATATGTATCTATATGCTGTTTGTTCCCTCTCTCTCTATCTCGTTTATTTTTCTCTCTCTATTATCTCTTTTTCTTTTATTTTTGCAAATTAATTTTTTTAGTTAATTTTTTTTACTAATAATAAAATGTAATTTAAAGAAACAATATAAATTTATTCTATTCTAACTTTTTTTACCAAACATAAGAATGAGAATGAGATTCCATTTTTACACATTCTATATTTACAACCAAACGACATTTCCACTTCCATTCTCATTCCATTCCAATTTATTCCACCACACCAAACATGTCATCAGAGAAGAGGGCTTACAAAAGCTAGGCTACCGCCCATTTGATTGGAAGTATTGGTCTTATTGGAACTGTAATGTAACCCACCTTTGCCTGTTCCAAAGTCTAAGTTTGACTTCTTTTTGGGCTAACATAGAAATGACTCCCATTTGTGGGCCGTACAAGGAGTCATTATAAGAGCCATTGAAAATTTTACACCATTTATCATATCACAGTACAACTCACTCCCATTCCATGGTCTTTTCATCTTTTCTTCTGTTTTTTTTTTTTTTTTTTAACTTATCTCTATTTCCTACATAAGAATTCATTGGTCCGTGACCTAAATGGATGCAACTCAGGTGACTGAATAAAGGGTGTGGACTGTTGTGCAGTGCACAATAGACTTGCTAACGTACGCCTGCGATACCGTTATATATGCGCACATGCCCACACGCCTAAGGTATTGAGGCATCAACTACAATTTTCCAAAGGTGTGGGGTACTGGGGCTGTGGATATTTGCATAGTGATCCCAAGTAGAGAGAGAGATTGAGGTGGTGTGTTTTACAGCAAGAGCATTATAACAAGTTGATAACCAACACAAACACACGAGAGAGATAGAGATAGAGATAGATATAGATATATATATAGAGAGAGAGAGAGAGATGGAGAAGGAAATGAAGCTATCAAAATTTAAGAGGATATGTGTGTTCTGTGGTAGTAGTCCAGGAAAGAAGAGCAGCTACAAGGATGCTGCTATTGAACTCGGGAGGGAATTGGTATATCTATTCATAATGCTCTCTGTTTTTGCTCTGTTCTGCCTCTGTTTTTGCTTGTTTCTAGTGCTCTGTTCTGCCCCTGTTTTTGCTCTGTTCTTCCTTTTTCCAATTATTGTTCGTGATTATCAATTTAACTTCAATAGAAGTGTTTTCATCACATCCGACTAAATATATATTGAATCAACGGCTGTGCCGAAAATTTCCAAATATTAGTCCATTTTTATGAATTAACTCATGCTAATTCTTGGGTTTTTTGAATTCCAAATTTATCTTTTTAATTGTTTTTTTCTGGCATGTCTCAATAGCAAAATCTCCAGATATTTGGTTTACCCTCTACTAAGGACTCTCTCTCACACACACATATATACACACAAACACATTTTAACAATATTTCACCCTTAGGGATGGAATTGATGTACATATTGGTAATAATGTGTGAAGTGTACTTGCATGTACTGTTGTTGTCTTGAATGACTATTGAAAACCCTTATCATCTTTCTTGCAGTGACATGTACTTTGATGGTTTCTTCCGTCTCTCTCTCTCTCATTGGGCTTTTTGTGTTAGGAGAAAATATGGGAGCCCATTGGCACCATAAATTCTTCACTAACTGTTTTTTTGGGCTCATTAGGTGACACCATTAAATTGTTTTATGAAGGTTTCAAGGAATATTGACCTAGTTTATGGAGGAGGGAGTATTGGGTTGATGGGTTTGATCTCCCAAGCTGTTTATGATGGTGGTCGCCATGTCATTGGGTGAGCTTATTCTTCAATTTTTATTTTTCGCAAAATTTTCATTTATAAAATAGTCAAATTTAGTGAGTTTGAGGAGATTTGTGTGTGTGTGTAAATTGGTTTGAGCCTTCATCTTAACTAATTTTTGTCATGTTTCTGTCTCCAGAGTTATTCCCAAGACGCTCATGCCTAGAGAGGTGAGTCTGCTACTAAGATATAACATTTTCAGACTTTTTATTGTTCAAACAAGGGATTGAAAATGACAAGGAAAAAAAAATCAGAGAGAGAGAGAGAGAGAGCATTATCTATCTAATTCACTTTCGTTTTCTCATTAATGGGGTTATTTTTCATCTTGTGGTAGCTACTTTTACTTAAATTTCTACCTCACCTTTGTTATCTTGGATATGGATTTCACACTTGTCTCTATTGGGACTATGTGAAGTTACAACGTGGAAGTTTTTTATTGGTTCTGGAACTTTTCTTTGTTCACATTTGAGTCTAGACGAACTTTATCCACCATCCCCCCCTTTTTTTTTTTGGGTGTTGTTCTTTGTTGTTTGATACTCTTTGCTTTATATTCCAAAGTCATTTTCTCTGAGTTATGTCACGCTGGATTGAGCCCACAACCCTGCAACACTTGTCATTGCTTCTCAGTTCTCTGAGTCTCTGCCAAACACCCCCAAAAATATTTTCTTGAGAAAGTTTTGGACTGTCTTTTTTCTCTCTCTCGTGTTTTGACTTGGTGGTCTGTACTGCAGATAACTGGCGAAACAGTGGGGGAAGTGAAGGCAGTTGCAGACATGCACCAAAGGAAGGCAGAGATGGCAAGACATTCAGATGCCTTTATCGCCTTACCTGGTTAGTATTCTGTCCTCCTCAATTCTTAGTAGTTTTTTTGTTTTGTCGAAGATAGTGTCAGGCTTCTTAGAACACTTCATAATCCATTACAGTCTATACAGTTTCCCATTTCATGTGGAATGAGAAATTACGGTAAAAATTGCCAAGAGGTGGCCCCAATTCTTTGTTACTAGGCATACCGGATACCTTATTACCATTCTACTTTAAGATAAAAACAAGGCACTTGAATTACAATGCCAAATTACTATCCTTATTCAGGGTTTATTTGACAATGTAATCCTTTGCAAATCCATTTTTTGTAATCCTTTACAAATCCATACAATACCCATCTTTTGATTCTATTCGAAGTGGCTTTTGTTTTCAGGAAAATGATTAATAAGCCGATTTGACTGTGGCCAAATATGCACAGGACAACTTGCCCCCACCACATTATCAACTTACCTAACAATACTCTCATATATATATATATATATATATATATATATATATATATACACCCTAATGAATGTCATGTTTGTTTCTGCAGAAAAGCTTCCAAATGTACCCTCACTTGTGACAACTTAATAATTCAGGTTGCCAAAGTCTCCAAGTATATATCTTTACTCTAAGGCAAACTACTAATTCAGGTTGCAAAAGCCTCTATTTTCCTAGAGTTTTTTTTGGATTTTCCTATTTTCCTAGAGTTAAGTGAAGTGACATGGAAAGTGCTTTTTTTACTCAACAATGTGTGTCTATCAAGCTCTTTTATATGAACTGCGTAAAAGTAGTAAATTACTCATATCAAACACATATCTTTCGGACATGGGTACGAGATATGTGTTCGACACTTTTAGTTAGACATGTACTTAAAAAGCATATACAATTATTTAATTACATTATATTATTACTTTAAAACGAGTTAAATGCCTATATTGGACATTATATTAGATAAAAACATTACTTTACTCTAGAAAAGAAAAGCAAAAAATTAATAAAATGAATATTTAGCCGTGTCTTTGTGTTTTTCTATTTAAAGATTTGACATGTCCGATGCATAAATACATACCCGTATCCGACACCCGTACCCAAGTCCATATAACATAGCTATCAAGATAAAAATAAATAAAAAGCCTTAATTACATGCTTCAAGGAAATATTTTCCATCAACAATCCTCCGGGTAAGCTTTCAACCCATGGAAGCCCGTTTCCAATTGGAAACCGAGTATAGAGTTCTGTGACATGATCTGTTTTTCCGACTAAATTCCATTGTTTGGTCATCTGTTTTCGTGTTTTTGAGTTCTACAGAAGAGTTGTCTAATTTTTTAAAATTTTAGTTTGAGATCAAAACGGATTCAGATTGAACTGATTTTTTGAAGAGTGATGCTATTAAGAGGTCTCCCTCACAAGGTTTCTCATGAGCTCTCCTTTTGATTTATTTTTATCTATTTTTATTTTTTATTTTTATCATGATTATATACAAATTTTGAGGCAGGAACACTATTATTTGAAAAAAAGACTAAATGAGATTGTATAGTTAAAATTTCGTTCAAAAATTCATTAACGGTAGATCACACAAGTCGTTCAAAGTTAATAATGTAATTTAGACCAAAAAAAAGAGTGTAAAATTTAGACCAACTCGTGTGATGTACTGTTAATGAATTTTTGAATGAAATTTTAACTATGGAGTCCTCAATTAGTCTTCTTTCAAGTAGTAGTGTTCATGCCTCAAAATTTATACATAATCATGGCGAAAAAGGTAAAGCTCACGAGAAACCTCATGGGAGAGACCTCGTAATAGCATTAGTCAGTTCTCAGTTTAGTGCTTCGAAACTTGTCCCTATTTTTTGGTAATTTTTAAGGATTGTTTTCCAATAGACTATATTTAAGGACTTCATGCTCCTTTGTAACTAGTTGTTTTTTTCAGCAGTCTTATTATTAATATTATCAATAACAATAATAGAATGTCTATAAACGATACCACTTGAATTCGTTGGCGTTATATTCATAATTTACGTTTGCAAAATCATTCATCTACTTTCTGTAAAAGTGATGGAGAGCGGTGTAGTTGTATTGCAAGAACTAATCAGTGAAATTATTTAGGTTCTTTTTTTTTATTTATTTATTTTAATTTTTTTTTTATTTACTCGAACAATTCTCATTGTCAATCATTAAAAATGTTGTGAGGCACATATAATTTATATGATTCCTGCATTTCTTATAAAAAATTCCCATTTTACATATTATGATTGAAGAAATTTGTGCTCTGCATTAAGGTGGTTATGGGACTCTTGAAGAGCTACTTGAAGTAATAGCCTGGGCTCAGCTTGGCATCCACGATAAACCGGTAATTCTAGCTTCCAAGTGTTTGAGTTTTCATACTAATCCCTCAAAAAATATGATAATCCGAAACGATTTTGATTTTTTCTCATCCCATCACTACTAAGGGCTCAACGCCGTAGGAGAAAGATTATTTTTGTTGAACTATGTATAATTATTTTACAATGAAGTTTAATTTTGGCGAATTTATGTAGGTGGGATTGTTGAATGTGGATGGGTACTACAACTCCTTGTTGTCATTTATTGACAAAGCAGTAGAGGAAGGCTTCATTAGTCCGAGTGCACGCCATATCATCGTATCAGCCCCAACTGCGCGGGAGTTGGTGAAGAAATTGGAGGTAAAAATTTCTTCGAGAATTCTTCTTTTCCGGTCTCCATTGGTTGCAGATTCAGCCTTTCATTTGCATCAGTTCCATGTCATTTGTGGCCATAGCTTATGCTGTTCTTTCCTTTCTTGCTTTCGTTAAATGATTTTAAATACTTCTACAAAGATCGAATTTAGAGTTTGTTCTATTGGCTAAATTCCACTAGGAAAAACCAAGCCATCATTTTGGAATTTTAGTTTTGTGGAAAAAGGAAGGAAACTTTATTGACAAAGATCAACTTTTTTTACATTTTTGGTTTTATTTCATCTCAAAATTTGGTCAAAAAGCTTGATGAAATACAAGTTGGGAATGTTGGACCAACTGAAGTTTTTCAAAGATTTGATATGATGAGAGTGATGAAATATGAACTATAGTTTTAATCCCAAAATTACTCATATAATTTTGCATTTTCATTTTTCAAGTGTTCTAAGAGCGCGAAATATCAGTGAATAAATTTTTTTTGTTTTTCACTTTTGTAGGAGTATTTTCCTTGCCATGAAGGGGTTGGTTTAAAGTTGAACTGGGAGATGGAACAATTAGCTTACTCCCCGGAAAGTGACATCTCGAGGTAAGATTAATATTCAGAGTGTTTGAAGAAAAGGGGAGATGACGACGATGGCCCTTTTGACAATGGAGGAACTAATTTTAGCAGACGGGAGATTTCCTCAACTAAGGAACTGCATTTTGTTGTTTCATTGCTAAACTACAACAATTGGCGTCGATATTTGAAGCTTCACTATTTTCTTCTTCGTTTGAAAACAGTTTCTTGTAATGCTCCATTCATTTCCCTAGAAGTAGTAGAATGAAAGGAAGACAGTTTTAATATCTTTACTTGGAATGGTTTTTGTCAAGACTCCAAGTTTTTTGTTTAATTATATATTATCTTCTTTTGTCACAGAACAGAGCCTAGTTTATGCTGAAAAAAATGCTACAAAACTTTGCCATTTTATGACGCAAGTTTTACAGGTTGCTTCCTGATATTTCTTGATGGTTCAAATTGTGGTTAACAAAAATACCTTCGCTTAAATCTCTTGTTTAATTGATTATTAGATAGCTTAATGAAAATATTAAGGCATCGAATCATATCTTAATTAAAAAAAAAAAATGTACTTAGTCACGCAAAGGATGTTTAGTGCCTCATTGACCACTAAAACCGTGTTCAGCTCTATGATTGAGAGAAGCTGAGACCAACTGTATAGAGAATAGCATATGTGCCAAACTGAGAGAAGTGGCTTGAATGGGTAGGAAATTAGGTATTTAAAAACTATCATTTCTTTTCTATTAGTGCAAAGCATACAACTGAATTTGAATTAGCTAGAAGTTTGAGAATGATATATATATATATATATATATATATATATATATATATATATATATATATCTTTCACTTGTGTTCATATTATCTAGCTAGAATTTACATTAGCAAAAGATTTAACTATGTTATTGACATGCAATTTTAATACCAAAATTACAAAGGCAATTGGAATCAGGATCACCTAATATGGTATAGGATGTCGTTTGCCGCTTATGCTACATATTATATCGTTTAAGTAACACAATATACCAGTTACGCAAGATGTTGCGTAAGCGATTTAAGATAATTATTGCATAAGTGATCTGAAGTTATTGGGATGGCATGGGACATATTGTGGCACCGGAGAGGATTCAAGTTGAAGCAATTGACATGTTTGAAGCTTAGCAGTTTATGATGCTTATTAGTTGCCATTTAAAACAAGGTAAGTGTGATGTCATGGTTTGCTAATCAGTTGAACCAAACAGAGAAAACACCTTCCAATTGCCAAATTACCAACCCACCTCTCTGTCTATTCTGTTCTAGTTTGAACACGTTTCTTTTTCGCAGCCATAACAAATTGACCCCGTATGGGTCTGAAGTCAAGAAGGTCATTTTCTTGCAGAAATTTTACTGCCTTTATCCTTCGTAGTCTTATCTAAAATGTGATTTGAATGAAAGACCATGTGTGCGTGATTTTAGCATTTGGTATCCATTCATTTGGTCTCAATGACCTTCGAGGAAATATCACTCTACTCTTACCATGGCGGGCCAATGTGACCCATACCTTGCGAGAATATTTTCGTCCTGAATTCTTTTAGAGTAATGTTGTTTTTATTTATTTATTTATTTTTCACAACCCAACGTTGGAATTTTTCTTTCTTTTTTTCTCATTTTTTTTTTCCACCGCACCACATCCTTCTTACTTTTTATTTCTTTTTTATCTCTCAATTTTTTATTTATTTATTATTATTATTTTTTTTATCATCAATGAAAAGTTTTCCTGCATATTTTTCTGTCTATTTTTTTTTTTTTTGTTTTTTTTTCACAAAAACAAGTCCCCATTGGAAAATTTTGAAGATAGATATTTTTTCCTTGCTTTGTTATTGCATTCGGATGCAAGAACATACCCAAACACAAACACACACACACACAAAAACAACAACATGAAAGGAGAGAATCCTACAAAGCCTCTGTGATCTCCCTCCATCTACCATGAACCCTCACTCTGTCCCATTTTCAAGCAACCACCAAATCTTTCTAAATACAAGGATCCAATATCAAAATTCATGTCAAAATGAAGCCATAGGTTTGTTGTTGTTATTATTTACGGAGTATTTTTTTTTTAATGTTTTTGTTGCAAATATCATGAATATGCGTTGTAATTAACTTATATTTAATTGTACCAATTAATGAATTGTCAGTCGTGTTGTAAGATGCGCACATAATCATGCATTAACTAGTCCCAGTCATCACTCTTCTTGGGATTTTTTTACAAATATTAAAAAAAAAAAAAAAGTGCAGTAAACCCCTTCAACTATTAGCATTTTGTAAATAACCCCTTAATTAAGACTTGTCCCTTGAACTATTGATCAGGTGCAATTTAAGGACAATTTGGTAATTAACTTGTTTGGAAAAATTCAAAGACGCATTTACCCTTACTTAAAACTATGTAATTTCAAAAGTTATATACTTGAGTTGATGACATGGCTGCTAACAATCTCAATAGCCAATCAAAATGAGACAACTCAACCAACTATTTTGACCACTCAGCCAACCTTTTCAGCCAACCTTTATCACAGACCTGTTAAAAAAAAAAAAAAAAATTTAAATACAGATGAGTTGCAACTTTTAGTATCAGAGAAGAATACAGTGGCAATCAGAAGAATACTGAAGTTCTTCTTATATATATAACAGGGTTGGGTTGCGAAACTGTGTGTATATATTATATATATATATTGAGTGTGTGGTGGGTATCTATATATCTGTTGGATAAGGTCTGATTAAGAATATATATTTATATACGTAGTATATGGGATCTAATTCTCCATATATATACATAAAAGTTGATCCTTTCTTAATTGGGTTTCCATATAGATATATTTATATATATAAGGTCTGATTCTTTCTTATCTCCTATATATCAATATACATATATTTTATAATTTTTTTAATTCTCTTCCTGTTTAATTAACTTTAAAAATTTCTCTCGTCCTCTTCAATATTATGTTGGCGCCAGAACAGAAGGAAAAAAAAAAAAAAAAACTATTGGTTAGTAGATAGGCGATGGAGGTGGGGAAGAGAGAGAACGGTAACAAGATTGTTATGTATATAATGTCTTGTGAAGAAGATGAACAGGGATTTGGCTATATATTTGTGTGTATATATATATGTAGGACAGAAGGGGCTGTTTGGGTATAGTGGTCACGAGACATTATTTGTCTTTTCATGTAATAAGGGCATTATGGTCTCTATGTTATATATTGTGTGTCCTTTGAACGGAAACTTTCCGGAATGGGCAAGCTGCAACAAAATAGAATAGTTTAGGAGTGTTTTTTTGAACATTTTGTAATTTAGAGGGATTTTATATTAATTTGTTAATAGTTGAAGGAGGTCTTTTACACTTTACCCTATAAATAAGGAAAAAAATTTAAATAAAGTTCACAATTCTCTAAATCTACACATTAAACACATGTTCTTTCTACATTTAAGGAGGGGTGAACAAATCCCTCTCATCTTGGGATTTTTTCCAAATTTAAATAAGGAAATAAATTAAATAAAGTTCACAATTCTCTAAATCTATACATTTAGAAAATGTTGTATGTACATCAAAAAAGATGAACAAATCCCTTTCATCTTGCTATCCTTCCAAATATTAAATAAGGAAAAAATTGAAATAAAGTTAAAAATTCACATTTATTTAACATTTGAAATCAGCAATTTTATTTTATACGTATATATGAAAAAATATATAAAGGAGAGAATAGAGTGTATAGTTATACAAATAAGTTTGTGCCTTCTAGAGGTGGTGTAACCCCTTTTATATGGCAGTGAAAGTCACTTATTTTTAGAAATAATGATTACCATAATTTTTATAATAGAATAATCTTAAATAATTATTTTAGAGGCGATATTTGCATCCACTTTTCTCCTATTACACTCTTTTTACCTTTTTCTTTTAAATAAAATGATAAGAAAATCATTGAATTCATGACTCTTAGTGCATCATTCCTTAATTTATAATGTTATAACTACAATTTATACAACTTTATTATTTTATTTTTTTACCTTCTTTACTTTCTTTACTATTTTCTTTTTCCTTTTTTTATTTTTATTTTCTAGAGGTCATCCCAAATAAAATACTTTATTCCATACTAATAATTTTATTTTTGACAATCAAAGGAGATAATTAATTCCATACTGACTTTTTTTTTGTTTTTATACAATCACAAGATATATTTATTCAACAAAGTTAACTTTTTTTAGTCATGTCGAAAGAGGTAAATTTTAATTCTCTCTTTTTTTTTCTTTTTTTTTTTTCCTTCTTTTGGGATTTTGACAAAAGAGATAATTTTTTTAATGGTTACTTTTTATTGTTTTGGTCCGATCAAAAGAGACAATTTATTTAACATTATTATTTTTATTTTTTTCGTCCCGTAAAAAAAAATATATTCAAAATGTTTGTTTTTTGGTCTTGTCAAAAGATAAAATATTGAAGATTAGAGATAAGGAAATGAAATTGAAAGGACAGTTGTGTCATTTAAAAAATATAAATTATTTATTTTTAAGGTTAAGATTAAAATTGTCATTTCATTTAAGATTGTAATACAAATGTTAAAAAATGAAATGTAGACATGACTTTCCTAATTATTTTTATTAAATATCTCCAATAGATGAACTTTTAACCTTCAAGGTAAGAGCCTTTTCATTAAAATATCTATTTGGGTAGAAACACTTTTGAGTTTATATATAAACTTTGTGTAAAATAATGTATATATATATGGGTAATGATCTCCACAAGTCCGTTGAATATGATATAAGTGTAAAAAAGATAATATTTGATGTGAATAAACTTCCTGTTCAGTAAGAAATCATTTTTAATCTTATATATATATATATATCAATCTCTAATCTTTCCACAACTTCATCATCACCTAGTTATATTTTTGATGTTTTCAATATTAATATGAAAAATGTTGCCGTCTTAAGATGGAGAAGTAAACTTTTGTAAATGATTCCAACCGTGCTTAACTATCAAGAGTCAAGACATCATCAGCATTTGTGAATTGTGACATCAACCATTTCTGTCTAAATTAACATCACCTTTACATGAACTTTTCCTTATATTATTATATATACAAATATATATATGCACATGTATGTGTGTCTGTATGAAGTTATATAGTCCTTCCCCATACCAGAACCAAAACGGACTTTTTCAAGTCTCAAAAGGTATAAGACCCTCTGAATTCTCTTCATAAAGGAGGCCATAAAGGCTTCAATTCCTGGAGATTTATTAGGTATAAATTCACTTATATGTAGATATGTTAGCCAATATAAGATCGGATTCATATTAACCAAGTATTCAAATAAAACCCTATATATTCAAAAATAACATAAAATAAAATTATATATTGTAAAAAATAAAATAAAAAATTAGGTGGCACATGAATACGAGACTTTTGTCTTTGATTTCATGACATGGTATTTATTGTTAGGCCAATTAAAACTAGCACACATTTTGCCATTTCATATGTGGCATCCACTAGATCTGTTTTCACGCTGGTCAATACTCGTTTGCCAGAATATATATTCTACGTGTGTGTGTGTATATATATATATATGTATATATATATATACACGTTTCGCCTGTCAAAGTCAGCCACCTGTCTCACAGTCAAACTTCCCAAGTGCGCTTTTGATGCTAAAAGGGTGCAATGATCAGACTGCAAGGTTGACTTTTCTAAGGGTTTAGGGTTTTGACCATATATATATGGTTTCAATAGAAATGAAAAAACTTGGGTAGTAGTAGTAAATTAGTAATTGAATATTTTACATTTAATCAAGGATCTCATGGATTCCGCTAATATCATGTAATTACGTCGCCACGTGTATGGATCTCATGTGCATGCATGCATGGCATGTTAGAGGTGCCTCTACAGCCTTAAAAATAGTCAACCTATAATTAAAGGATTGTTTTTTTGAGCCTTCCAATAAATTCGACTATGTATGAGTAATTCATGTATAATCCGCAGTGTCAGTGATACATAATATAGTATTTTAAAAAAATATACATAATATAGTATTTTAAAAAAATATAAGTAATTTATGTATAATCAGCAGTTTCAGTGATATATAGATACATATGTACACAATATAGTATTGTTAGTTTGTAACTCTTAAGATATTCCGAAATTGTATTGCAAGACCAAGCAATAAATGGCCTACTGAGTGTAAGAAGTTTATTTAAATGAAAATCAAATTCTAGTAATTGTTTCATGTAAGATCATCATGAATAACGTGATCAATTAAATTATTACAAAGTGAGATTCGGGGAATAGTTGGTGGACTAATATAATTACAAAAGCATTTCATTTGCGTTCCTAATGGATTTGAATTTAGCTTCGTGAATGCATGTGTGAGATTTATTAGGATTACCTCCAATAAAAAAATAAAACTTTATTTATAAACAACTTGATCCCCACATGATGCTCAAAGGAAGTCTCTATAGATTAAAACTCCATAAGAAAATATTAATTTTTTTTCACTTGTATTAACACTCGTCCATGGTGCATAATCAAGAAAATAATAAATCTATAGTTAGCAATTTAGCGTTTATTAATGCAATATATTACAAAATTCCAGTGCATAACTCTCTAAGATTGAACATCTAAGAAAAATTTATATAAAGCTAATATTTTAACCCTTTTTTTTTTTTAAATAGGTGTTTTATTTTAATTTATTCAAAACAAATGCCTACATTTTTTCTATTTGACCTTTCCTAAATGCTCCTCTGACTTTTCGTTCCTTTTTTGAAGTTCCTACATGTTGTATTCCATCGATCATGACCGTTGTTATGAACCAATAATAATTGAAGACATTCTCTTTAATTACCAAATTACTTATAAACAATGAAGTTTTTCTTTTTTCTTTTTTTCTTCATATTTGGTATTCAGACATACACATGCCTCCATCAAGACTCGAACCCCTAGACCCTTACCTCCATTTGAAAAATAGGAGTCCGGTATAACTAGGCCACTGGCCTGTTGGTAACAATGAAGTTTTGGACTACTGTATTTCTTTATACAATCGATCCTAAGTCTGGATAAAGGAGGAAGATTATATTAGGTAGCTTGACAGCGTCCTGACCATTAATGAACATAATCCAAGATTTTGTGGTTGTACCAGGAAAGGCAAACCACGTCTAATGTATCACCTAATTTTAATGTGTAATGTTCTGAAACTCTCAAACTCTCAAGTGCCATTTCCCCTGTAAAAGAAAGACTTTTTAGACCAACAAACAAGAGAAGAATATAGAGAATTGTTGTTCATTGTTTAATTTTCTCTCTATATTCCTTAAAAAGGGACCAAACCCTTTTGAATTCTCCCTTATGCAAGCAAAATCAGTCCAAGGGTAAAGTTTGGCAAAAAGGCATTAACACACATTGCTGCAATGCTCATCTATACTATATACATGTACATAGCCTATATATATGCCAAAGTCAACCATTGCCAACCATTACTTTTGTATTTATATCTCCAATATTCTACTCAATCTTTAGCTTAATTCTATAAAATTCTACACGGTCTATTGCAATCCATGAACTGTGTCTGTATAAGCTTAATGCTTAGCTTTTTAGCCTGATTTGCTGAAAAAGAAAAGGCTCTTTGGCATCCCTTTTTTTCTTTATTATCAATCAAGGTATTCTTTCAACATTTTTTTAACATTAAATTTTTTTTTCAATTTTTTATTTTTATTTTTATTTTTTTAATTTTAGCATATGCTATGCTTATTGGGATTTGAGTTACAATGAGCTTTGAGTTCTCTGTAAGAGAAAAATATGATTTTGGAATAATCCCCAAGATTCAGAGTCTAGAAGCTTTGGCATTTCTAGATGTCAGACAGTTTATTTTTCTAATAAATGTATAAAATTATTACTACTTTAATAAATTTTAAAGTAAGAGTGTTGCCTCCTCACCGGTTAGGACGAATCTTATTCCCGCCATTTATGTGACATAATGCTAGAATGACACTTGTAAATTTTGAATTTCTCTAAATTTCATGTTAAGAAAATGATTCTACGAATTGAATATCTTCAATTTACGGGAAAAAACTTTTCTTCCATTCAAGTGCGTGTGTTGGGAGACTCAGAGAGAATGGTAATGAAAAATAAAATAATGGTGATTTGGGTAGTAATAAAATTAGCTTGGAAGTGCCAAAAACGCAGGGTGAGCCCATTTTTACGCCAACAAAGCCGGCTTTCAATTAGTGTCGTTGTCTGAGAAGTAGTGAAGGTAACGCGTTATATTACCATTTGTTTTATAAATTTAGGCGTTAACCCCATGTGACCTTTGCTGCATTTTTCATGGGACCTTCCAATGCACTTAAATTTGTCTATCTTTTTTTATTACTTTACATGTATATTTATTACTATTTTCATGTGTAATGTATATGTGTGTGTGTGTCTCTCTCTCTCTCTATATATATATACAAATCCAATGGCACAGGTTCCATTGCTCTTCAAGTCTTCGAAGTTCCACAAAACCACCCTTCTCCTATTAGTCCCTTGTCTTCCTCATTTTGAGAATTCAATCAAGCGTATGAAAAATTACCCACAGAAGTCATTTGATTCTGTCTTCACAACCAATTATATCTGTTAATTTGCTAATTTGGGTTGTGGGTATTGGTGAGTGTTGAGCTTTGATTCCTATAATTTTGTTTTTGGATGAATTGGGACTAAAAAACTTGTGTTTTTGTATCAATATGCAGGTGAACAGAGCAAGTGATTGCATTTCTGCAATGGGTTTGTTTCGAAATCCCAGTATGAGAAGTGGGGATTACTTGGAAGGAATGCTTAGTGATTATGTTGGTGGAAAGGCAAAGTTGAGAACACAGAAGAGTCCCTCTGCTCGGCTTGTAACCGTGCTCACTTGTCTCCAATTCGCCTTTGCAGTTTACGCCACATTCCTCTTGTATTACATGAGTCCAGCTGTAGACTTGAGAACAACACCAGACTTTTCATGGGCTACGCGAATCGCGCAGCACTGGAAACAGTTCATAATCCAGCCACACGTTGTGAGCCGGTACCAAGAAGGTGCTTCTTTCGTCCATGCTGAGGTCACTCCATCAGAAGTTTGCGAGAATGAGAAGATTGATTTTGTGCAGAAGAAGTCCAATGATGCCATGATGATCAAGTTGAAGAGGGACCTCTATGATGAGGTATTGCAGTTCCAAAGCAAGTCCACTGGTACCGAGACACTTTCTGAGCTCATGGCAATGAAGTCCAAGTGGGACTTAAAAGGTCCAAACATCCCAAAGGTCACAGTTATCTTAAACCATTTCAAAAGAAAAACACTTTGCTCCCAACTTGATTCTTTGCTTCAACAGACCCTTCCTTTCCATCATGTTTGGGTACTTGCATTTGGTAGCCCAAATGAGCTCTCACTTAAGAGAATTGTAGAAAGCTATAATGACACTAGAATAAGTTTCATTAGTTCAACCTATGATTTCAAGTACTTTGGAAGGTTTCAAATGGCCTTGCAGACAGAAGGTGATCTTGTATATATCCTTGATGATGACATGATTCCCGGTAGGAAGATGTTACAGATTTTATCACACGTAGCCGGGACTGAGAAGTATAAGAACTCTGTTTTGGGCAGTATAGGAAGAATTTTGCCTTTTAGGCAGAAGGATTATACCTTCCCAAGTTACAGAAAGTTCCGATCAAAGGAGGCCGGGCTTTATTTGCCTGATCCTGCTTATGACATCATGGTTGATAAGATTGTGCAGGTGGATTTTCTTTCCAGCTCTTGGTTTCTATCTGCAGAGCTTGTCAAGACACTTTTCATCGAGGACCCCTTCACCTTCATGACCGGAGAAGATCTGCATCTTAGGTATGTTTACTGATCAAAATTAAATTTTAATTTCATTTAACATATTAATGGGATATACCAATAATTTGATAGTATGTCCATGTATCTTGATCATGTTTTGGATTTTCTTTTAGCTACTAAAAAATGTTACTAAGTCATACACTTCCATTGCTATTGGGGGTTCATGAACTACTCAATAAACTATTAGTATGCCATGAAGAATATTGTGACAAGAAGGTCATCTCTGATGTCATTAATTTAGTTTGACTAAAAGATAAAAATGTAGTAGTTTTTTGAGTTGGTCACCTGTTCAAAATTATGCATATTATTCTATATATAGATGTATGAATTTATAGAGAGAGTTTGGGGGGATAGCATTAAACTAAATGTTTGGCGCGAGTCTAATGTAGTAACAATGGGGACCAACTTTTGTCAGTATCAATTATGCATCCAGTTGATGATTAATATAAAGTATAAAAATTCAACTAAATTGATCCCCGTGCAGGTTGAGTTGAAAACTGATTCAGATAGCATTTTGAAATACTAATTTACACTAACCAGAACATTTTTTTAATATGAACTTTCTGTAGAGGAATCTTCTTAACCTGTACTTCATTAATATTGAAGTCAACTTTCTGTGTAGTATCACAAGCTAATACATTAATTTCTTTTGCCTGTTTTCCATTAATAGTTTTTTATGAATGATTTAGCTAATGTGTGAATTTTTTTTGTGTTAATGATGGGAAAACTAAAGTGATAGTGGGAGTTCCTTTTTGAGATTCTCCCTAGCTTCATTATTATCTGCTAATCATTGAGTGTCTTGTTATTTGAAGGCAAATTATGACCTTTATTATTTAATGTTTTGCATTGTATTAATATAGTTTCATGTCCTTGAGAAGGCAATGACTAGGCAATCACTCAATTTGTTTTACTTCTGGAGATAGTAAATGACTGGTTTTTGTTAATTATATCATATCAAGTCCAGGCCTTGAATAAGATGAACAATATGATTTTTTTGTTTTCCATTTTAAATTATTTTTCTTAATGATGTGTTTGTCTGGATTCTTATTTTAGCTTCTAAAGTTTGTAATTTACCACAACATGCAGCTATCAGCTTCAAAAGTACAGAAATGCTGGCTCATTTGTTCTACCAGTTGATTCCAAGGACAAGGAAACTTGGGGTGACAGTGAACACAGGCTTGCCTATGTGTCCGAAACAACTGTAATCTTTAAAGACATAGTACAAGTCCGAGATGATCAATGGTGGAAAGCACTCTCAACCGGTTATGTGACACAGTGGGCTGCAATGTATCCTCAGAAAATAGATGCACTCTTCTATGCCCACTCTGTTGAAGAAGTAAAAGCTCTTGCCCCTCTTTTGGAGAAGTTCAGAACCACTGTTGGCAAGAAGGCTTATATTGTAGCGTCTGGAGGCAAGTTTTGCCCTTGTGAAGATGCTACCACAGCTTTGAATTGGCCTAAGTCGGTGTGCAAGGAGAGAAGATTTAAGATTTTTGATTTAGGAGTTGGTTCACCAACAGGAATATCAAACTCGGAGGTGCCTGTGTTACAAGCAGTGTACTCCAGCATGAAAGGACTGATCAAAATTCATAACCCGAGTGTGATCATCACGGTGGCTGATATTGATTCTAATGTGAAGAAAGCTTTGAAGATGGCGTCAGAGACTAGTACAAACAGTTCAACATTGGTTCTTTTACCAAGGTCTTCTGTGTCAAAGGTTCTTTGGATGGCTGATCTTCGGTCTACAGCAATACCAAGTAAGAATGATTACTCTATATTCAACAATGTTCTGCTTATTTGCTATATAAAATGGCAGCACTAGAGCTAGAAATCACTACTGAAATTAACAAAGTGATAATCCAAGTCACATATCAACTTGAATTTAATGTTGATCAACTCCATAACAGCTATAGCTTAAGCATATAAGAACAACATAAAAAAAGTATGAAAGTTTCATGTTAGAATATCTGATTCCATGGTACTAAAATGAGTACAATTATCAGAGATGAATGTGTTTTTTAACTCAGCTCAAACTGACAAAAGAATGAGGTCAATATGTAACTAGCTTGTTTAAGTAATCGATTTTTCCCTTTGTTTACTCGTTATGCAATAATCTAAGCAAGCTATTTGTCTCATGCAGATTGGAACAGAATGCGGATTTCTATAAGCATTATTACCCAGAATCGTGTTCATTCGCTAACAAGGCTTCTCAACTCTCTAAGCAATGCCTTCTATGTTGGAGATGAGGTCTCTATCAGCTTCAACATGGATAGTAAAGTGGATGAAGCAACTCTAAAACTTGTAAATTCATTCGATTGGCCCCACGGCCCCAAAACCCTGAGAAGGAGGATCATCCAAGGGGGGCTCATCCGAGCTGTGAGTGAGAGCTGGTACCCCACATCAGATGATGATTATGGGCTCTTACTCGAAGATGATATTGAAGTCTCTCCATACTACTACCTGTGGATTAAATATGTCCTCTTGGCCTACCATTATGACCCACAAATCTCTCTCCCTGAGCTCTCCTCAATCTCTCTTTACACGCCACGTTTGGTTGAAGTAGTAAAAGAGAGGCCCAAGTGGAATGCAACCGAGTTTTTCAAGCACATTCATCCAAACACACCTTATCTCCACCAGCTACCCTGCAGTTGGGGTGCAGTTTTTTTCCCAAAGCAATGGAGAGAATTCTATGTCTATATGAACATGAGGTTTACCGAAGATGCCAAGCAAAATCCAGTTCAAATTCCAAAGTCTAGAACCAACGGATGGCAAGCTTCATGGAAGAAGTTTCTGATTGACATGATGTACCTTAGAGGCTATGTTAGTATATATCCAAACTTCCCAAACCAGGCAAGCTTTTCGACTAACCATATGGAGCCCGGGGCTCATATCAGTGCAAAAGACAATGTAGTAAGGCATGACAAGTCTGATTTTGAGGTGCCATTGCTAAAGGAAGACTTCAGGAACTTTTTGCCTGGTGGGAAGTTGCCTCCGGCCTCAAAGGTGCCGTCACTGAACCTCTTCAACCAGGCTGTTTCTCTGAAAGGACTCAAGTCCGCAGGATCAAAGTTGGGGCAGGATGTGCTTAACTGCAGTACCACAGAGGTAGTGATGGTTCATCATGAGACAGGTCTACCTTCACACTGTGCCAAATTCTGATGATTCAATTGTTGCTAATGATCAATTCTTTTGTTTTTCTCTTTCCTCAAAATATTTGTTGTAATATTTTCATTTTCACTTAATGTTGGAGGGGGTTGGTTTTACAAGTATTCTGATCAGAAATGAATACTGGTGGTGATTGGGTGGATGAAGCAGTGGGAATAATGGTGAGCCACTGGTTCTTCCTTATTTTGATTCCCTGTCAAAATGAAGGGGAATAAGGAATTCTTGGTGAGGAATACAATTATGTTTTTGATGTTTCAATGCAGCCATAAGTCTGTGTCACAAAGTGACACACACAAGAGCAACTTTCTTTATGTGAGAAAATGAATCATGCTATCACATTTGGCCACCCACATTGTCGTTTGCTTTAGTTATAAAATAATCATAAATCAGACTGGAGAATCATAAATCAGATTACTACTACATCTTTTCTCATCTCTTTTAAGTTAAAATTATGTCTATGCTTAATACATTTACTCAACTCAATTACAGAGTTTTGATGTAGACTTAAATGTGTACAAGTGGCAACTCCAATAACATAACATAAAGTGTGGTACTGCAATGGAAGATTGGTAGGAGGAGAGTAAGGATTACAGAACTATCTAATTTCTTCCAATTTCTCAACAACCATAGACCAGATTATCAATATCTATCTATAGTTACATAGCTTTTGCACTGTCTTCACGGAGACTTAACCAAACACAAATGAGCCCCATCAAAGAAGGTTGAACTAGGCAGGCAGACTCTGGGTGGCGTTTGCTTGACATGTGTAGGGAACCGATTCTACAGTCTTCCAGAGTCGTAAAAAATTGTGGGGTATCAGAGGACTGTAAAATGTTGTAGCAGTATTTAGAGTAGAGAATGCGGAAGTAGAGAATGATATAGAGTAGTAGATATTTTAGAATGGTGTTCTAGATGGTAGATCCGATTGTAATGTATTTTAGCCGTTCATCTTGCTATAAATAGATATGAGCCTTATTTGTTACTGTTAGCCCCTTGACGGTTATCCAAGGGAAGACATGGGCATTTCAAGGCCATGCCATGTCTTGGGAATACTTTGGCTTTGGTTAGACAACCATGAGAATGCTCAGTGGGTTGTCAGCGTGCACAAGATGCTCAGCGTGCACACAAGATGCTTAAAAGGATGCTCGGCGTGCACTGGGGGTGCCCAGTGGCACTTTCGTAAATATGGCAAAAAGTGAAACTTGGAGTTTTGACTCAGGATCTTTATGGGAGGTACCTTGAGTCCATAGAAGATGGTTGGCGCAGACGGCACTCAATTTGGATGTCGGAAAAGGTCTGAAAGGTCATTATGACTCCTCAATCATGGGTGATGTTTACTCCTGTCAGAGTGCTGGATTTCCTTAAGATTATATTAGGGGGGGTCTGTTGAGCGCATCGGTTGGGCTATGGCATGGCTTGCTTAGAGGGCTTAGCCAACGTGCATGGGCACGTGTTGCACCACTCCAAGATGGTTGCACAAGTGGAGAGCATCCAAGATATTGAAGGGCAAACAAGTGTGCACCGACACGCGCGCTGGGGTGCAGCGGCGCGCGTGCGGGCGTGCAGGTGGGCGCGCGGGTAGGCGCCAACCTAGTGTGCGCGAGCATCTAGCTCGGCGTGCACATGGGCGTCCAGGTGGGCGTATAGCCACGGGCGCATGAGGGTACAAACATGGCGCGCGAAGAAGGGCACTAGTGTGTGCGCCGGCATACACTTTGGTGTGCATCGGAGCGTGCGCATGGGCGTGCATGGCTTGGCACGCCGTGCACTCAGAGACATATATATGTGGGTGCAGATTGGTGGACTTGGGCTAAGTTCACAAGGTTGACTCAGATGTGGCTAAAGCATGGATAACACAAAGTCATGGCTTGCGGTTACAAGAGGTGGTGGCTTAGTGGGCTCGGTTGGTTGGGGGAAGTTACTAGCACTTCCCACTCATCATGGGAAGTGGGGGAGTGCTGAGTAACCTCCCAAACATGTGGCACAATTCTGAGAGGACCAACACACACAGGCGGTTAAGGGTGGTTTCCTCCACTATGCAGAATCTAACTTCTTGTGGTTATGTGGCATGAGCAGAACATGCCAACAAGTCTAGCAGTTGGGCTTGTCAACTGCATTATAGTGCTGGCTCATTTAGAGGGTGCCAGCACGACCCTAGGTGGATGGGGGTGTCATCCATCATCTTAGTGGGCACTTATGGGCGGTTTTTGAGAGTGGCCTATATAATGCTAAGGTGGGCTTTGTAGAGGGGACAGAGAAGAGGGTGTGAGCCTTGGTTGTTCCTTGTACGAACTCATGTTCCTTTTTAATATGTTTAATATGAGCAAAGGTTGGGGCTTGTCCCTGTAACTGTGTGTGCCTTCTTTATATTTCTATACTGTGTGTATTGTGTTGTTGTGTTGGCTGAGACTTGGTGGCCCCAAGTGCCATTGCAGAGGCAAAAATTCGTGGTGTAATTTAGCCCTGTGACAATTGGTATCAGAGCCCGGTTCTACGATGGCTGGAGGTAATACTCGTGAAAGAGTTTCCCATTTGGAAGAGTTCGTGGGTTTTCCTACAGAAACAAAGGTACAAGATGGTGCAAAGAGCCTTGTTGTTCGAATTGAAAACTTGGCTTCTGAAGTGGAGATCTTGAAGACTGATCCTGATGGGTTTGGTGACTTCATGCAGGCCACCAAAGAGCAATTGACCCGTATCTCTGAAGATGTTGAGTCACTGACTGATGTCTTCAAGAAGAACCTGAAAGACCTTGAAGATGAAGTGTCCTTGGTGAAGAGGGCCATTCATGGGAGTTCTAGAGGCGGTGGTGATCCTCTTTCACAGACGATCAAGGTGCCGGATCCCAAGTCTTTCAATGGTACCCGAAATGCCAAAGAGTTGGAGAATTTCCTATGGGACATGGAGCAATACTTCAAGGCTGCTCGGATCCCTGATGGCGAGAAGGTGACCATTACAAGCATGTATCTGTCTGGTGATGCAAAGTTATGGTGGCGCACACGGACAGAGGACGATGCTTCTGCGGGTAGGCCTCGGATTGAAGTTTGGGAGACCCTCAAGAAGGAATTGAAGGACCAGTTCTTGCCTCAGAACACTGCATGGATTGCAAGGGAATCTCTGAAGAAATTGAAGCACACAGGTACCGTTCGTGACTATGTGAAAGACTTTAGTTCCTTGATGCTGGACATTCAAAATATATCAGAGGAGGACAAGCTGTTCAATTTCATGTCCGGATTGCAACCATGGGCTCAGGCAGAACTCCGTAAGCAAGGTGTGAGGGACTTTCCTACTGCCATGACAGCGGCAGATTGTCTTGTAGATTTCAAGATGACTGGGTCTACTACACAAGACAAGAAGAAGTCCAAGGAGGGGAAGAAAGACAAAGGCCAGTCCTTCAGGTTCAAGGACAAAAAGAAGGATAAGAATCAAAAGAAGGATAAAGGCGGTGGCTTTGTCAAGGCCAAGGCAGATTACAACAACAAAGGGAGTAGTAGTGGGACTAAGCCCAACTACGGTTGTTTCATCTGCAATGGTCCCCATCGTGTTAGGGACTGTCCCAAGAGGGAGAAGCTGAGTGTTATTGTCGCTGATTCAAAAGGAGACTCAGACTCGGAATCTGGTCCAACCCGAGTTAATCCTCTGCAAATGCTGAATGCTCTTACTGAAGAACAGTCTATGGAGTTGAAAGGGCTCATGTTCATTCAGGTGACACTGAACGGCAAGGAAGTTTTGGCAATGGTGGACACGGGGGCCACTCATAACTTCATTGCGCAGAGGGAAGTAAGTAACTTTAATTTAAAGTTAATTCCACATGCTAATAAGATGAAAGCTGTGAATTCTGAAGCCAAGCCTGTTTTAGGCATGGCCACCACTTCTATGAAAGTTGGTTGTTGGGAGGGCGTAGTTAGTCTTATGGCTGTTCCCTTAGATGATTTTGATCTAATTCTTGGAATTGAGTTCCTTACGAAAGCCAGAGTGGTAGTTGTGCCATATTTGGGAGGAGTTTTTATTTGGGACAGGAGTTGTCCATGTTTTATTCCATCAGTGGCTCTTTATGGGCACCAAAAGAAGGAAGATCGTAAATATGGTTGCATCGAAATAATCTCTGCATTGCAAGTGAAAACAGGTTTGAAGAGGGGAGACTCTACCTTTCTTGCAGCTATGATAGAGATCAAACCGGACCAGCTTGTTGAAGTTCCGGATTCTGTTGCTGAAATTCTAGAGGAATTTGCAGAAGTGATGCCACCAGAACTACCCAAGCAATTGCCCCCTCGACGTGCTGTTGATCACAAGATAGAGTTGGAGCCGGGTGCAAGGGCTCCTGCTCAGGCCCCATACCGGATGGCGCCTTCAGAACTGGCTGAACTGCGTAGACAGTTGGATGAGTTGCTGGAGTCTGGCTATATTCAACCATCCAAGGCACCGTATGGCGCGCCAGTGTTGTTCCAGAAGAAGCAGGATGGCTCAATGCGGATGTGTGTGGATTATAGGGCTCTGAATAAGGTGACTGTGAAGAACAAATACCCAGTGCCCAATGCCGCAGATTTATTTGACAGGTTGTCAAGGGCATCCTATTTTACTAAGCTGGATTTACGTGCAGGCTACTGGCAGGTGCGTATAGCAGAAGGAGATGAACCCAAAACTGCATGTGTAACTCGTTATGGGTCTTATGAATTTCTTGTAATGCCGTTTGGGCTAACTAATGCCCCGGCAACCTTCTGCAACTTAATGAATAATGTGTTTTATGACTACATCGATCGCTTTGTTGTTGTTTATTTGGATGACATTGTAGTCTATAGTGAGTCATTGAAAGATCATTTAAAACACTTGAGATTGGTTTTCTCAAAACTGAAGGAGTTTCAGTTATTTGTCAAAAAGGAGAAGTGTGAGTTTTGTCGCCAAGAAGTGATGTTTTTGGGGCATTGGATCAATAAGGGCCATGTCAGAATGGATGAGAGAAAGGTGAAAGCCATCCTTGATTGGTCTGCACCTACCAAAGTGACAGAGTTAAGATCTTTTCTAGGGTTGGCAAACTACTACAGAAAGTTTATAAAGGGGTATTCCAAGAAGGTTAGTCCTTTAACGGACTTGCTGAAGAAGGATAAACAGTGGGTTTGGTCTGAGGAGTGCCAGAATGCTTTTGAGATGCTTAAGCAGGCAGTGTCTACAGAACCGGTCTTGAGACTGCCTGACTTTGGTTTGCCATTTGAAGTGCATACTGATGCCTCTGATAGAGCAATTGGTGGGGTTCTAGTCCAAGAAGGACACCCATGTGCCTTTGAAAACAGGAAGCTTAAGGATGCTGAACAGAGGT